TTTTCGCATTAGATAGGAATTTAGGAATTTAGTAATTAGGATTTTTCCTGCTGCACGGCGCCTTTTGTTTACGCGCTTCTTCATGTGGTTGCAACGGTACTCTGATTAGTGGGCGCCCTTAATCGTATGTGTAACTGTAATTTTGGGCGGGCGCCATTGTAACTGTATCTCTCTTCTTGCACTTCGTCTCTCCCGCCCTCCCTCTCTTTCTTTTGCTGAATTTTGTAAGCCGCAGCTTGCATGCTCGGATCGATGCGTGGAGAAGGGTTATGTCCCCCACTCCGAGACCGATCATGCAGAACGCAGGTGTTCCCTCTCTAATCCCCACTCTAAGTCCTGGTAATTCCATGTTCTTCGCGCATGCATGCATGCTATAAATTTCGGCTGCGCGATTAGTCAGCTCTCTTAACCCGTTGTTGGAAACTCGGGGTTGCGCGATCAGGAAGGGTCGGCACACGAGCGAAGTAAGAGGTGAGTAGAGTAGGAGTTGGGCGACCCGACGGGCTGGTGCCGAACGCACGGGATTGACGTGGGCCACGACGGACTGTGGGCACGGCCGAATCCGAGGGGTGCGGGACTAAGCGGGGTGACAACTTCGTGGGCTGGTGCGTGACGACGGACTGTCCGCATCGGAGAGAAAGAGAGAGAGAGGAGAAAATTGAGGTCGATGGACGCGGATTTGCTGTTTTTTTGTCTCTTCCCCCTCTTCACCTGTGTACATACATTTTGGTTACGGCTCCGGGCGGTTTGCCCGTTCTTACTTTCGTTTCGGCTTTTGGAAATTGGGGTCTGGGTTTTTGCTCACATTCGTCCTTGCGATGTCCGTCCTGCTTGCATTATGTGTATGATTGTCAAATGTATGGATGTATGGATGTATGGATGACAGGACTGCTTGTCTATCTTTTTGCTGAGAATCACTGTCCTTGCGTTATGTCTGTGTCGAATCTTTGCCTGCACCTGAGGTCGCTATAGATGGGATAAGAATCTGGCCCTGATAGTGGTTTGTTCTCGTTTTTGCTTATCCCGCGATGGGGGTTGTAATATCATTGCATCTTGCATAATCGACGATCCGAAGTCTGGTCCCGCGAACGCCGCGAGCACGTGTAAACGCGATCCGAGTCGCGCCCTTACACGCACTCCCGTGCGTCGATTCGCTCACCCAAAAAAGATTCGCGGTGGAACCATCATCCCGTACGAGCACGCTGAGACGCCACTGAGTCTGCCTGCCCTACACGTGCTCGTGCGCGGTGACCATATCCCGACCCGCGCTATCCCACCGATAATGATACCATGACGTGATCTTGGGGCTCAGACTCATCCTATGATCCGGACTATTTCACCCCCATAATAAACGAGCTCATAAGGACACGATACCCCTGTCACACGGAGAATCGGCTATGCCCGCGGGAATTCCACTGTGCCACCTCTAGCGACCCTCGGTGCTCCGATTTTCCTTCTCCCGACCACACCTACTACTTCACCCACCCCGGATTCGTTGAGATCACCACCAGTTTCCTTTCCGCCTCCTTCTCCCATATCATCAACTCAGTGTCGTTCCGTGGCCGGCCATAGCCCCCTATTGGCCCAATACGTTTTGCGTGAACTGCCGACGTAGCAGCACACAGAGAGTTCCGGAGTCCCGAAGGCCGCGGCGGCCTGCGCCACGTGGCAGCCCCCGACGGCCTAACTTTTCGGGACCATCTCCATCACGGAGGAATTTTCCCGTAACCCGTTGCCCATTGTGTCCCGGCCCCTTCGAACTGTGAGACCCTTGTGCGGGCACCCCTCATTCGCCTAATTGCATTCATACCCTTAAGACTCCCCCACTTCCCCCAAAAATCCTTGGCACACCCCTTTTCGCACTTCCAGGCCCACACTCCACTCCGATCAGGAAGTCGCGCTGGGCGTGAGGTTGGGCGTCACACGATGGCCTGAATATGGGGGAGACCCCCTCCCCGCACACTGACGGCCTTCGCGATCTGCTGGCATAGCTTCATATCCTGCGTCAGAATAAGAATGTTGAAATTGATCATCCACGAACAAGCACCAAGAACAGTAACCCCTGCAGCGGACACGAGAGCAGCAGCACCAGCAGCAGAAGAAGGTCCATAGTCCGGCGGAAGCGGCGCTTGAGGAGCGATGGAGGTAATACTTGTTTGGGGTCTAGACGAAGATGTAATGCAGTCCTAATACACAAGCCTAAAACGGCTTGACCCCGGCCAGTCCGGCCGAGAGGAGACTACTGTTCTCCTTCTCTAATTTATGGACACTCTCCTCCCTACCCTACCCTTTGCGGCCTACTGTGACTGCCAACTCAAACCGAGTGCCCTGGTTTTAGATGCTACAACCTAGGGGTAGTGACAAGGGGGGGAGATCAAGATGGGGGTGGAGGTAGGGAGGGTGGGAGGAGGGTGGCCCTTCTCAGCTCAACAACCACGGGGAGATGACTAGCTTGCCCTCATGGGTGACGGCTGCCAGTTGGTTGTCCCTGGCCCACGTAACAAGGAATTAGTGTCTGCCTCGTCTTGTTCGTCCTCTCGCTGCTTTCCTGTGCCAGTCGATACGGATAATTGTTATGATCCAAGACTTGATTTTTAGTATCAGAGCAGCATCTGCTGTCCACTGCTGCTTGAAGAGGACGTTGTTCCGGTCCTCCCAGATGGTCCAGATAATGATGGACCGAATTGTGTGGCATGCCTATTCAACGTGCGTGCTACCTGTGTGGGGAGCTCCCGATCCTTTGACAGAAGAGTTCTGGCCAGCGAGGTTTGAAATTGATGAAGGAAGACTCTGCGTCCCGGTGATGGTTCCCAGTAGTGGCCCTGTGGATCCACGAGTAGTTGTTGCAGGCTTGCAGCGGTGTGCCATCCGCCAAGATGTCATGAGTAATGCTTCCTCCCGAGGTTCTGGTGTCTACCCGGATGATCCGCAAGCTCTGAGATGGGGAAACCGCAATGCCCCCTGCAGTTGGAGGCATGTAGGGAGTTCTGGGTCAGTGGACCTCACCCATTCCTGAGCGGACCACGTTTCATCGTCTAGCTGCTCCTGGATCCGAATCACAGTGCGTTCTTCCCTGTTGGCTGCGTCAATGTACCGCTCCCTGTTTGTGCATTTCAAGCCCATTCTGCAACTACGAGCGTACAGCCCGCGTCTGCATGGATCAGAACAGATACTACACTTGATCTTAGAGTCTAGTTCCACTAGGGGCATTTCACAGTAGTATCCCTTTTTTACTCCGTCATTGGGTAGGGGGGCAACGTCCAGTAGGGGCAATGAATTCCCTCAGTGCCTGAATGCGACCTTGTTTTAGAGTTCCTTCCATTTCCGCAACCGCAGATTGCGAAGCTCTCGTAAACTAGTCGCCGGTCCGCCGCCGGCCTGGCTGCGCCCCCATGCCCGAGCGTGGTATCAGTTGTGCATGTCGGGAGTACTCTCGAAATTCGCAAAACGAGAGTGAATCTTCCGCTAGAATATGGAAAGATACACCGCCATGAGTTTTGTCTGTTGTGCATGTCGAGGCCCTCTCTTGTTTTGGACAGGAGGGATTCGTGGAGCGAAACCCGCACCGTTTCACGGTGGTACCCCGTCAGTCCTGCAGTCACCCAGGTAGGCCGAGTTTTTAAAATGAAATCGTGAACTTCTTTTGCTCTTTTTTTTTTTTTTTTTTTGCCCTTGTGAAATTGGTTGGCGACCCCCCTCCATTTCCGGCCCTAACTCCCCGGGAAGTCGACTTTAGGCAATGAGGGGGAGCGGTGGTTTGAACTCACACCACACAGACAACACTACTGCGCCCTAGTTTTCCCTTCTTTTTTTCTATTGTCTTTTCCTTTTCTCTTTTGGGATAATTTCAAAATACCCCCATAAGTTGAAATATGCCAAAATGCCCCTTAAAGATGTGGGTAGACTGGACTGCCCTTTTGGGCCGAAATCGTTGTGTTGTGCCCCTGTCAGGCGGGTGTGCAAATTTGCAATCTGGACCTCCCCGTTTGGGCCTTGGCCTTATACAATAGCGCCTAGGAAAAGTTGTCAAGTACTGCGGCATTTTGCAAAGTTGGACGGTACCCGTAGGGGTATATTGCAAAGATGGACCAACCGATTCCAGGGCTATTTCACAAAATGTTTTTCGCCAGAGGGGCATTCCGCTCCACATCGTTTAGGGGCATTTTGGCATAAATCTCAACTGACGGGGTATTTTGCAAATTTTCCCTTCTCTTGTTTGTGGAATGCTCAATTTGGCTGCCGTTTTTGCAGCGACCGGGCGTTGGACTTGGCCGATCCCCGACAGCTACGGCGGCCCTGGCCGATATACGGCACAAGTACTCGTGAAGTGAGATTGGGTGCCAATTCCGGCTCTCCACCTTGTTGGCCAGGACCGAAATAATACCTTAGGACATGTTCCGCGTGAGGCATCCGCAGCAACGTCCACTGTGCTGTGTAGAATTCAATAGGAAGGCCCTCACTGCCGGCGGATTTGCCTTGGCCATAAAGTTTGCTGCGGCTTGCAGCTCCGATTCAGTAAGCGGCGCATCCAAACTGGCACAGTCCAAGTGGCTGAGTTTCTTGGTTGATAAGGACTAGTGATCAAATCGGTGTTGGGGTCCTCTACCCCGGAAGTAAATTACAGCGTACTCATTCGTTCTTTTTTTTTTTGGCGGTGCACACGATTCGGGCGGGTGTCCGGCCCTCGAAAGGGGAAAAAACGGCGAACGCTCGATGATAGAGCGGGCCAGCGTGGGAGGACTCACACTTGGCGCCCATCATTTTCGAAAATTTGTATGCGTTGAGAAGTGGGATTTTCAATTCTCACGACCGACCCCGCCGAGGAAAACAGAACGGAAACGGACAGAAGACGGGGAAGAAGGGAGACAAGTGCTGGACTTATGGATATGGACTATTGCGCAAGGCTGAGACTTTGCCTTCGTCATGCTAGCTGCCCTGTCAACTGGATTGCTCAGTGCTCGGCACGAGCATAGCACGAGCCTAGCACGAGCATAGCACGAGCATAGCACGAGCCGAGCACGAGCATAGCACGAGCATAGCACGACCCTAGCACGACCCTAGCACGAGCGTAGCACGAGCATAGCACGCACACAGTTGGCGCTAAGGAATTGACATTTAGGCGGGTTGTCGTCGATTCGATCTGTGGTGGTTGTCTAACTATAGCGCGGTGTCCATGGGGACCAAAGTGAAGTTCATGCCCCTGTGCGGGGTGCATTCGGAAGCCCCTCTATGTTACCTCCTTCAGCTCGACGATTTCACATTTCTTCTGGATTGCGGGTGGAACGATAGCTTTGATACCAATCTGCTCAAACCTCTGCAAAGGTACGATGGAAGAGAAACACGGTCCGCCTCCCCTCCTCTCTCTCTCTCTCTCGCATCTCTCGCTCTCTCTCTCTCTCTCGCCTCTCTCTCTCTCTCTCTCTCTCGTGTCCCCTCCCCCTCTCTCTCCCCTCTTCGCTGTTTCTCCCCTGTCTCCTCGGTCTCCATCCCTTGTCTTCCTCTCGCTTTCTTCGGGATCCGATCGTCTCTGCCCTTTTCGTTTCTCTTTCTCCCCTCTCTCTCTCCCCCTCTCTTTCCTCCCTTCCTCTTACGCTCTTCTTTCTCCCCCTCTCCATCTCGTTCTCTTCTTCGCCCTTTGTCTCCCTCTGTTCTCCTCTCCCTCACATTTTCTCCCTGCCTCTCTCTCTCTCCCTTTCTCTCGCTCGTTTACCGCTGCGTGTCGTTCGGTCCCGCCCTCTGTTTTCCTCTTCCTCACCTTTTCTCCCTGCCTCTCTCTCTCTCTCTCTCTCTCTCTCTCTCTCTCTCTCGTTTACTTCTGCGTGTCGTTCGGTCCCGGCTGTGCATGTCTGCTGGCGGGTCCTTGCTGTTCATCGGGATCGCGACCGCTATTCTCTTCTCTCCTCTCTCTTTCGCTCGTCCTCTCGCTGACCTCACCGGCATCGGATGGTTCACTGGCATCGGGATCGGGTCGTCCCTACCCCCGATTTATAACCTACCAGGTCGTATCGGGTTCTTAGCACCTGGCGGGCGTTTTTTTTTTCACCTGCCTCGTGGCAGTGGAAGACTAAATATAGCACGGTCTACCGGTGGCCTAGAGTGTGTGTGGTCAGAACGGGTTCTTATATATTGTAAGTCAACCAGGATGCTTGATATCGATCGGAGCGCGCGGTTCGATATTCCCTCTCCTCCCCTAATCTAACGACTGTCTCTCTCTATTTCTTTCTTTTTTTTTTTTTTTTTTTTTTTTTTTTTTTTTTTTTGTCTCTCGCTATTTCTCAAACCACCTATCTGCAATCGAAGACGAGACTTACAGTAAGAAAAAACATCTGACAGTGATGGTATGCCGGAAAGTTGCTGAAAAGGACAGCAATCTGATCTGTGATGACGTGTCGGAAAATTGCCTGTCCACCGAGTATAATACGAATCTTCGCCCCTTGTGCTGCTGCTGCTGCTTTTTTGCTTGAAATTTCTCTTTCTGTTTTTTTTTTTTTGTTTTTTTTTTTGAGACAGCTGAAATTTGTCTTCTCACCGTTGCAGTAGAGAATGAACCCCTTTGAGTCAAAAAAAAAAAAAAAAAGAAGAGAAAAGAACCGGTGTTGTGTGCCCGTCTTTTGTTTTGTGTCATCATCATTAGTCTGTATGTGCTTAGCCTGAAGCTCTGGCAGCTCTTGGACCTGTCCATGCACACTTTGCGCGAACGCTGCGTGTCCCGATCTGTAGTATCGGTCCCGATCGAGTTGCTGCACGGCTGCCCGATCGACGGGCAGGACGCTTCGCAACTCTGTTTTTCTTCTTTAGCCGCTCTTGGCTATGGCAGAAGGACGATCGTACTTGGCGGCGGCCATAGCCGACGACCGTAGTCAGCGGCCATAGCCAACTCTGTCTTGTTTGCTCGATGACGGCGAATTGCTCGTCATTTCTGGTGAATAGAGAGAATAAGCCGCCAGTTATTGCATATCTGCCCGCCAACGGCTCGGACAAGATTGTGCACACATCACATCCTCGGTATGTTCGTCAAAGATGCTGGCGGCCATAGCTGTCAGCCGCCATCGCCATAGCTGGCGGTCGTCATCGTCACAGCTGGCCATCGCCATAGCTGGTGGTCGTCGTCGCCATTCGCCGCCATAGCTGGCGGCCGCCATCGGCAGATCTGGTGGTCGTCGTCGTCATCGCCATAGCTGACGGCTTCAGAGCATGTTAAGCCTTCGTAAGGCTGTGTATAGATCGCTCATCTAATCGATGAATTGCGTGAGTGCACATGAACGGATCGCATACACGTGGACGTCTGAACTCCAAGTGGATGATCGGTGAGTGGGTGCGTGTAAGAGCAAGGAGATTTCATCAACCGGTTTATGACGAAAGGGCTTCACGACTCGTGGAGTTTGTCCCGGAGAAACACATCGGTCCCATTTTGCTTACATACAACGTCGATGAACAGGATGATGACACGTGGACCTTTTCCGGGCGGACGGAGCCAAAGGCGCTGCGAAACCTACAGGATGATGACACGTGGACCTTAGAATGAATGTGCTTGCAGGTCAAGTGGATGGAGTACCCAACTACGGATTTTGAGGTTGGGAGTTTAAAGCACTTGGCGATAGACAACCCGTCAACGGCAGTAGCGATCCAGGCGGTCGAAGGTGAAGGCGACCCATCAACGGCGGGGGATAATGAACCAGCGGTGATGGGAAATCAACAACAGAGATGGCGCGGCGGCGAAGATCAACGGCAGGAAAAGGAGTTATCGAAATTGAAATAGTCGGGTAGAAACGGGGGGGGGGGGGGGGGGG